CTACCACAATATCAACGAATTTACTCCAAACAATTAAAATTAGCTTGGAACCTATAAGTGATTTATGCGCCATTTTGATACTGTAGACCCTTCTCATAAACTATGGCTTAGAGTTGTGATATGTCTCGAATGGGGTTACGTCAAGCTGTTCCTGCAGCGCTGAGATTGTTTCCTCCCAATGATTTTCCCAATCAACAGCCATGAAAAATCGAGCTTTTGTTGCTTGTTCAAGAATCCATGGCAGATGTTTCGTAAGGAACCTGTGACGATGCCTGTAAGACGAAAAATAGTTCAACATCTGCAAATAAATATGAGTAAAAACCAAGTCATTCCAAAAATTCCAGCTACAAAATACTACATTGTTCAGGGAGAAACGACGAAAACTATCATACTCCGTGTTTGAAACAGAAAAACTAGAAAAAACGTAATTTGAAGCTCAAACCAACTCACTTTGTGCGCAACCTTCCTGCCCCAAATATGCCGGCAGTCACACACATGGGCAAACCAAATTGAATGCCTTCAAAGTACTTAACAGTGACCTGAAATAAGGTAAATATGTAGACAGACACACAGTGGATGAATGTACGGAAGAAAAAAAAATTCATTCCCGCTTAACTGAGAAGGAGATGGCATTCATAGAACTTCTACAAATATTATTTCCAACTAGAGTCCATTTTTGTTCGTAAAAAACATTGCTCTCTGTTCATGGTAGAAAATTGAAACAGAATAAAGAGAAAAACATGTTGCCATACATAGAATCAACTTAAAGTGTTCACAATGTTAACAATAACAAAAGCTGATTGTTTCAATAAGTGCTCTACCTACCTCACCCAACATATTAGTGGGCATTTGTAGAAGAACATGATTGAAGTCATGTGTTTCACGGTAACGTTGCATAACGTAGAGATGATCTTTGTTTTGGATAAACCTTACAGGAGGTCTAGCATCTGGAGATGTATGTAAACCGTCAAGAAACCTGAAACCTGTACCATTTTTATTCAACCCATAATCAATTAAATGAAACTTACTTGGCATATTCCTTTCCTAGCGTATTGTCAGGTAAGGAGCTGAGGTAAGCACGATTAACGCTAGTGTTGGTAACCCTAGGGCGTTCAGCTAAAAGTCGGGCGCCCAGTACATCACTTGCCATTCTCTGTCTGCAAAGAGGAATAAAAAATTGAAGATTTCAATTGAAATAAACTGACCGGATCCTCTCAAGGACAGATTCAAAAGCTGTGGCTTCACCCATGGCCGCTACCATGTCACCTCGACGAGGATCGGAGATCGCCATTGCCGCTGAGCCAACGCCTAGCAGAAAGCGAGAACCGAGTGAAAGAGGAACATGGCCGGCATATAAACTAGTCATTTCTGCCCTGAAAACAGTAAAGGGACATTAGGATAGGACTAACTTTGGATGCTTCTGGTAACAGCAAACAGATATTGAATGAAGTTAGGTAAAACCCTTTCAATACCCATGGGTATTGAAAATGAAAAAGAGACAAATTTTGATACCTTGCTTTTTTCTACGGAAGTGGCATCCGCCTCAATCGTAATTCCTCTTTTGACAGTAATTCCACGTTTCTGTAGAAGCTCTTCAATATTTTTGCCCTGTATTAACATATCTAATTAGAGAAAAGTAAGCTTCTCAAAGGAAGACCTGTACCTTGAAATCCTGAAACCAGCCTAGATTATCCGCGATGATATGGTGATTTCTGCAGTGATCACAGGTAACAATGACTACACCTTTTTCGTAAGAAGTTCGTGAAAAGGTCTTCGGGCCCTGCAACAACCAAACTTCTCTCTCAAGTCTCTAATAGACTCTCTTCTACTAATAGAATTAAAAACAACAGCATAAAGTTCCGCTACATACATCACATGATTTTCCGCTCAAAGCTCACTTTTGCGTGGGTACACAAAAACAAGAAAACTTCAACTAACTATAGCCTCATAGTATCGCTCTTAACATTGCATTCATGCTTGGAGTAGCAAAAGTTGAGTTGCTCACAAACCCCACGCGCTTCTAGGTTTAGCCATGGTGATAAAGCTTTGCCTATAATTTTCCTTTATTCGC